ATGGTGTTTCTGAACTGTGGACCTTGTGGATCTCAGCCTAACATTTAACCACAATTCCAAACTTCTAGGACATAATCAAATACCTTGAGGAAATGACTCACTGGGCCATGGGGCTCAGGATCATAGTGTCAGTGGACCTCACAGGACAATTAGCATAACAGTTAGCATAAAGACAATGAGTGAAACCATCCTACTCTGGTGAATAGTGACTAGGGACTTAAAAGTTCATGAGTGGCCATGTAAGATAAAACTTTTCGTCTCTACGTGTCCCAAGAAATGAAGAGAGAAGAAAATTGAAGGTGCCTGGTGACAATTCATCCAGTGTACTAATGGACCACACCAACTCGGTCTTCACAACCCGGATACCAGAACTTAACATCAGTCTGTTAAATGTGTACAGCCAAGATTCCTACAAAAGATATGTATATATGCCCTTGCTCTCCAGTCAATTCCAGTTCATGGATATAAATACCTCATTGTAGGGCAGATGACTGCAGTTGTAGTTAGATCAAAATGTAACACTTGGTTACTGATCTCCCTCTTCATCCAATGCATAATTGTTCTGGTTTTTAATGTTTTCTGCTTTGTTTGTGATTGAGGTTCTGCACTGTTTTATTCTGTCATTGTTGGGCCATTTGTTTGAATTTTGTCTTGATTGTGTCTGTTTTTCTGTATAGGAAACCCAAATTAGGTAAACCTACAGAAACAGCAACTGGATTAATAGATACAAAAGGACATGGCCGGCTGGCAATGGAGCGCTAACAGCACTGAGTCCAGGGAGAAGAGATGTCCTGCAGTTGATTGTGTTGACGGGTGCACAGCTCTTAGAAAAGTGATGCAATTGTTGAAATCAATGCCGGTGAAACTGTCATAAATAAAGAAAATCATTTTAAAATGTTTAATTTTTAAAAAGTATAATTGCAGGGTATTATGTTTTCAAGACCATGACATTACAGAACATATTGCCAGAACTTTCTTCTCAGTTGCTTCCTAATGTTTTTAAATCTGATGCTCATAACTTCTCTATTAGACTTAAAGAACCCCTTCTCCATGATAACCAGTCTCTCCCTCATGGTATCCATCCTCTCCAATGTACTCAAATTTATCATCCCAAATGAAGTACAATTATATCTAACCTCTGCTTCAGACTCCTTCAAAAGAATGCCATCTTCAACATTTTATATTACAGATATTACATAAAAACACCATAAGTATCACAGTCCTTCACTCATTGTCCAGTCAACTGTTTAATTTTCTATTTTACTTCAAGAATCCCCAACCCATATCCTGGTGTTTGGTCAACAAATTACCTTCATAAAAAAATCACACCTCTCATTTCCATTTGCTTTTAACTCTTTATTCAATCCATGATTGTTTTCCATATGAAGCAACAAAATATATCTTTGTTCTTTGTATTTTCATAAGATTTTATTATGACTATTTTAACATTATAACAGTTTGTGTGGGTGTGAGCATGTCATACATTTATATTATACAAAAAAGTCACTAAGGAGAGTTTCTTAATAAATCACACTGCAGTTATCATAGACTTTATAGTTAAAGTTCAATATTTTCATGGCTGCTGAAGGTGACAGAATTACTATCCTTCCCCATCCAGTCTTCAAATCTCTAAAGCACATTACCATCACTAGCAGCTAACATCCTCGTGGGCTAAAAAGTTCCATGTGGTATAGTGTTTATCTGCAGGTGTAGTAGGGAATAATGAGACTTAATGACCTTTGAGCCATAGTTATGCCCAGAGGATTTTGAAGACTAAACTTAGGCTTTCTGGGGGCATACCTAGACATGGCAACACCATCACTGACTATAAACGTGCTTTCCATGTGACTGGGCAGACTTGGGGCCCAGCAGCTTGAAGGGACTCCCCATCACCATCTTAAAACCTGTGCTCCCAAGCTCAAGCTTCTGCTTCCGGTGAGGACTAGGAGTCAAAATATTACAGAGGTAACCTTCTTCTCTCTGTCTCACACTCGCCTGGGTGTGCACACACAAAGGTTCAAGCACTAACTCCATCTACCCTCTACAAACACAAATGTGTCCATACACACACACTCACACAGCACACTGCTCATCACAAGATCACCATAAATACTGTCTCATCATTGCTTGGTTTCACCTGATGTCACCCTAGAGTGAACGTTTACAAGGCAGCAAGCTATTTACTGGCAAGGTCCTTTGCCTGGAATTCCTGTGATTCATCAGCAGTAGAATACTTGTGGCGGGTCACAATTTTGTGTGTGTATTTGAGAAAGGGAGTGAAGGCTTGACTGAGGTGAGCATCCACATGAAAGGATCGGGGTATTATCCATTTGTTCAGCATTGTTTTCTTCCTTCCTCTTTCCTATAATGCTAGTGGATTTAGAGACTGTCGATTATGATGGCCTGTCTCCCTGGTTCCACCACTATTTTTTGGAGATCTATCCAAGTCTTTTTTTAAATAAGACCTATGTCCCTAAAGAACTGGCTCTTGCTCAACTGCTAAATCAAGAAAATATCTGAATAAAGGTTTTTATTCACTTCTACAGTTGCTTTAGTTCCAACCTGCTTGAAAACCCCGTGAAAGAGGAAGGGAGAAATTGTTACCTTTTGAATGGAAGAGTGTTTGGTTATGTATGTATTTCTAGTAATCAGGATCCATTGATTTCCATGGTTCTCACCTACTCCCTCACTCGGGCTTCAGTGCCATCTCTCCCTTCAAACCCCTTTCTTCTCTCTCTATGGCTCAATAAAATATGAGCTCTTAATCATGAAGTAAATTGTTTCTTTTATTAGGAGATGGCAGTGGAAGGCATTAATAAATAACTACTCCTGCTATGAGCTAGTCAGTTTACATATAGTAGTTTAATATGTATTTAAGATACAACACATTAATTAGTATTTATTATCGCAACTTTACAAGAGAAGAAACTAATGCAGAATATTCAGGAATTTTTCCCAAGGGTTTCCACCTAATAAATGGCATCATAGAATTTCAAGCCATGTTTGAATGATTTCCAAGTCCACACAAATCACCTGTTTTATATATCACTGTTACATACAACAGGAATCACACAAATCACCCATTATATATCACTATTACAGACAACAGGAAAAAGAATCAGCAGGTCAAAACAAATAAAAGAAATGAGACATAATGAGAATGAAATGGAAAGATCTTTAAAAGATCTTATATAAAACATCTATCTACCACATATACATGTATAGAGAGATATAACAATTACATGTATTATCGATTTAGCTTTGGTATTGAACTTTTGGGCTGTACTCTTTGTCAATATGTGAATCTAGGAGTGGGTTAACGTATCACTCACTCTTTCAGGAATGGTTTTTGAGTTTATTGTGCATGGCACACATCTGTGGAAAGTCGTTCTTGCCAAAGCTGTGAGGGGGTTGGGAGTCTGATTGGTCTTGTCAGAGATTAGTCATTTTGTTGGGCTGAATAGTTCTCCTCCAGGTGAGAAAATATCATCTTGAGGTTCAGCACGGCTGAAGAAGGAACTGACTCCAGGTTGTAAATCTCATGCTGTGTCACCCTAGATAGTTCTTGGGAAAGTAACTATCCCAAGTCAAGGCCTACACACCCTCTGATTTCACAACGGGGAATTTTCACCTTAGTGCTAGCACACTCTGTGCTCCAGTCTGCATGTGGGCAACTTTTTTTTCATTCCTCTTGTTAGAGTCTGCCCGTCTTTTTACCCAAAACAAAATAGTACTTCTCTTGTCTTGGTCTTTTTGCTATTTTTGCCATTTAATCCCTGTCCAAAAAGTCTCGGGACATTATATGTGCATCACACACCTACTGAAAATAGGCTCTCTCTTCCTTATGCTTATGTTTTCTCTCTCGTTCTCTTTCCTCTGGATACACACACACACACACACACACATACACACAGACAGAGAGATAAGATAGAGAGATTAAAGTACTTACACAAAGTTGATTCAACTCAACAGTTAAATATTGAACAACTAAAAGCAAACTCTCATGTGACAGAGCTGGGATATTAAATCAATATCTCCTGGTTCTTTGTCTCTGGTAACAAATATTTTGTTGAGAGACATGAGGAAAATAAAAAATATTCTATAATATTATACATTTCAGGTTACGTTAAATACAACAGAATTGCAAGGGCACAAAAGTTTTAAAGTAATTTCATTTCCAGAAATCAAGGATATGCATTTTAGTTTAATATACCTAGATTATTCTAGCTATTTAAACTGCTTATCAGCTATGTAAACAGTTAGCTTGGTCTAATTTTGTATGCCATCATTGGTGTCATAGGTTCCAAGGAAGATTACCTTGGCTGCAAGACAGAAGGCACTTTATTGGAAGGAGATCAGATTGCCAAATGAACAGGAGCCTGGAAGAATAAAATTGGAAATTAAGGCAATTTTAGATGATTAGGGAAACATTAAAAACAGCAATAATCTCATAATGGAAAGAGTCTGTTGAAGCTAGCAGAGTTAGAAATAGAAAAATATAAGTGAATTTTCTTGTCATGTGAAAGTCCAAGCATTGAGGAGGCAAATGTTTAGATCTACATCATATCAAAATATAGATAATGGTGAAAGACAACAGTTCTCAGTTGGATTTAAGACTGTCTAAAAATTATTAAAGGATCTAAAGAGCTCCAGTCTATATGAATGATATCCGTAAATATTAATCACATTAGAATCTACAGCTGGGAATTTTAAAACATTATCAATTACAATAACACTGAAAAACTCACTATGCATAGACATAAATCATGTTTTTCTCTTCCAGTAAATATATTTTCCAAAATAATAAGAATCACATTGCTTCCCATTTTGCTAAGAGGGTTGCCCAGTTTTTATCTAGAAATGAAAGACTAATATTGGTTTTAAATAAAACTGCTCCTATGATTAGCAAGAGAAAACTGATTAGTGGTCTTTCCATCTCTCCAGGATAGAAGATATTAAAGAAAGTGAAACTCCTCCTTCGTAACAGGATTTCAGTGACACTGGCTAGGAAAATGCCTTCTATCAATGACACCCAATTCCATCCGCCCTTCTTTATTCTTATGGGCATTCCAGGTCTGGAAACTATACATATCTGGATTGCTTTCCCATTCTGTATCGTGTACCTGATTGCCCTGGTGGGGAACATCACCATCCTTTTTGTGATCAAGACTGAGCACAGTCTTCACCAACCTATGTTCTATTTTCTGGCCATGTTGTCTATGATTGACCTTGGTTTGTCAACGTGCACTATCCCCAAAATGCTGGGGATCTTCTGGTTCCATCTCCCTGGAATTAGCTTTGGAGGATGTCTTACTCAGATGTTCTTTATACATATGTTCACAGGCATGGAGACTGTTCTCCTGGTGGTTATGGCCTATGACCGCTTTGTTGCCATCTGCAACCCTCTCCAATACACAATGATCCTCACCAATAAAACCATCACTATTCTGATTTCTGTTGTTGTTGGAAGGAATTTAGTTCTTGTGACCCCATTCGTGTTTCTCATTTTGCGGCTGCCCTTCTGTGGGCATCATGTCATCCCTCACACATACTGTGAGCACATGGGCCTGGCCAGATTGGCCTGTGCTCCCATCAAAATCAATATCATCTATGGGCTTATGGTGATTTCTAATATTATTGTGGATGTAATCCTGATTGCCTCTTCCTACGTGCTCATTCTTCGAGCAGTTTTTCGTCTTCCCACTCAAGATGCCCGACTAAAGGCTCTTAATACCTGTGGCTCCCACGTTTGTGTCATGCTATGCTTCTACACACCAGCATTTTTTTCATTTATGACTCACCGCTTTGGCCACAACATTCCCCCATACATCCACATTCTTTTGGCTAATCTATATGTCGTTGTCCCACCGGCCCTGAACCCAGTCATCTATGGAGTCAGGACCAAGCAAATCCGGGAGCAAGTTTTGAAGATATTTGTACAGAAAGAATAATTTTGTAAAGATTAAAATATATATGTAGCCATATATTCCCAATATGTAGTAACCTGTTCCCTCACATTTTCCATAATAAAGGATCTTGGAAGCCCAGTTTTTCATTTTGATTAGCAGCAGTTAGGATTCACAGGTAAAACAAAGATATCCTCATTCAATTACTACCATTGAGTCAATTCTGAGTCATAGTGATTGGACAGGACAGAATAGGGCTCTGCCTGTGGCTCTCTGAGACTATAAATGCTAACGAGATCAGAAAGTCTCATCTTTCTCTATGAAAGCTATATGGCCTGCCCCCTTTTTCTATGTTTAAGTAGGAAAAGTGTAGAGAGAAATGAAGAATGCATATGTCCTGAGAGCTGTGGCTTTGGAATTCAACGGCAAACGGAGAAGAGTCTTAACTATCCCAATTTCTTTATCTATCTTCCTTTATTGGTAAGATTAAAACTTAAGGTATCACTTAAGTAAATAATTTCATTTTTATAGATTATGGAAATAGGATTATGCATTGGCTTGTTACAATGTTTGAATTAGAACATCTACTGATCCATAAATTTGCATTGTTATAGCAATTCTCAAATTTCTTCCTCTTCCTTTGGAATAATTGTTCATATATATTTTTATGATCTCTAGACTTCTTCACACTGCCATACTTGTATTTTTCCTCTTTTTCCTTCCTCTTCTTTCTTCTCTGTCCCTTTCCTATATTCACTCTTTATCCAATAAACAAATGCCCTTATGAAATTAAGAATGTGAGAGACTACAATATGAATATTAAAGCATATGGTATTATTTTTTCAATTAAAGCAAAGTCATTTTAGGTGTAAATAATAACATGCATGTGTAGGCTTAAATCTAATTGACTTATATTTTACTACTTTCTTTATCTTCCACACCATTTATACAGGACTTTAAATAATCATAAAATCAAATCATGGTCATGTACTGTTTAAGCACAACTTGGGGACTGACATAAAACTCAGAAAAATCTGAGTATAATTTATCAATCCTGTAGATACTTAATATTTAGTTCCATTTCTAAACTCCAGGTATGAGTAGGGAATGTGGTTTTCTTTTTCATTTGTTATTCCCTTTATTTTCTTTTATTATTCATCTGATTGTATAATTTTCATGCTTAATAGCATGTTGTACTTTTTAATGAATTAACTTCATGTCATTTGCCAATGTTTACTAGAGCTACATTTTCACTATATAATTGTATACTCTTAAAATAATTTTATTTGCATATAATTTATGTATCATACCATTTAATCATTCAGTCCTATTGAGTTGTTCAATCACATCACAATCACTTTCAGAAATGTTCTTCTCATATTCTTTATGGTTAGTTCACCATTTCCCCCCAATCTCTCCTGCTATGTCCCCAGGTAACCATTAATCCAGTTACTGTCCGCATAGATCCACCCAGCCCATATTTCATACACAGTAAAACATACACAAATTGATAAAACAAAACAGAGAAAAAGTTCATTTGGAAAGTAAAAGATATTAAAAATTGAAATAACTTTCAAATGGGTTAGAAGGGAGATCAAATGATAAGGTGTGACATTTTAACCTAACTATGTCTGCCATAATCCACTTTACAATCCCCTCTGTCTCAAAGCAAGGCTGTTCACATCCCTGGACTGTGATTCATCAGAGGTTTGATCCATGTGTAGACCCTGCAAATGGATTTTGAACTTCCATTGCCATTCATAGCCTTCTACAAACTGGGTGTTCGGAATTTAAGCTCTGATACTGTTCCCTCCTTTGGGCTTGTATTTTACTTGAATCACACAATCTGCTGTACTTCTTCCAGGTAAACTTAGCTGATTGCTTGTTTGATGACCCCAAATGCTATTTTTTCTGATAGCCCGGCACCACTTGATTTCCTCACAATACTTTGCTATAACACCCATACCTCCAGCACTCTCTTCATGAGGGTGAACTTCGAGTAGATCGCTGTCATAGAAACTAATGTTCTTAGATTGAGTCTAAAATTAAATGTGAGCCAGAAATCCATTCATGTATCTATGGTTAATGTATGTCTCTGGTTCACTTTAGAGACATTATCATTTTACAATAGAGAACTTTATAAATAATCTCTCTGGGACATAAGGTAATTCTATTGATGGTATCATTAATTTAGCCAATGGTATTGATCTTAAGACACTGTTGAGAAAAGGAAACCATACAAATATAGACCAGCTCTCAGACTGCAATATATAAATCATTGACTTATAGAGATTAAACTTTTAAGTGACTAAACATTATTTACATGAGCAAGGGGATTAGTGATAGAGAAAAAACGTTCAATAAAACTCATTCACAAAGGCAAAATGCCTGGCAGTCTACTATATGTCATAAGAAATCAAGGCGAGCCTTAAAATATAAATATATGGTAGTCCCAGGACACCATTCATTGAACACCCTCAAAGCAAGAGATCCAAACCAAAGTTCAACAACAAGAATGTGTTTACTTTTTAAATCAATTGAAAGACATACTCAACTTCTACTTGTGACTGACCATAGCACTCTTGACCTATGACTCGCTCTGCTCTCTCTAGGTCTGCATGGTGAGGATAAGCAATTAGCAGCACACAGGAGTGCGCACTGAGCAATAGGAACATGTTCAGCCAAGCAGAGAAGGAAAGCAACATCACCAGCGTAGTTTATGTGAATCCAGTCAGCTTATATATGACATTTTAAATGAAAGTTGCACTCAAGCACAGTTCCTGCATCCTATAGCATTTTATGGGATGGCCTCGTGTCCGTGAGGCTGGGTTATAAAATTTGATTTAGTTCTATTTTTGATTCATGCCCCTAGAATCTTATGGGAATAGAGAATTTTGTAAATGTAAAAATGATGAGAAGTGTTTTATCTATCCCTTTATTTTACAAACAAAACTGACTCCCACTTACAGGTAAGAACTCATGTTCATAAAATGTATAAATTACACCCATCTTCAGCATAGCTTCATGTAAATATGAAGGCAGATAATCATGCAGATACGTTCTTTTGACCATAAACTCTTTTAAGTGATTGAGGCAGAAAATATTTTATGTGTACGAAAGTAAGTAAAAAACAACAACCATTACTACCAGTGTCTAGATTCATGCGTGCAAGGGGTTATTCTAAACAAAACATATTTAAAGGTGTTTCTGTGATCAGAAGCCAGCTAGAGATAAGCTTTTCTAGTAAAGCTCTCCTAGTAATACACAGGCCTTAGTCTCATGCATGTGCTTCCAAAGAAGTCCTGTCAAAAGAGGGGTTTTTGAGGGGATCTGCTAGTATAGTTAAATCCAAAGCAGAGAAGGTCAGTTCAGAAGGTTACTGTGATGGTTTCTTGATATTCCAAAGAAGGAAATTTGATATAGTTCCTCAAGTAAACCAAGAAAATGATAGAGATATATTATGAATAAATTTTAAGACAATTTAAAACTACATTGGAGAGAAAAATGTAATTAGCATTGCACCAAGAAAATTTGCCATCACGCCAACGTATCTCCTCACTTTTCGAGGGCTATCCTACAGATTTCATTTGGAAACTTTATCCCCACCACTTTAGTGCCCTGATATTTCTCCTCTCCTCTAGAGGAACTTTTGCTCCCCAAAGCTGAAGCCCAAAGAAAAGGAGATCATTTGGGTCCCTCAAGCTTGCCCAGACTGCCATCTGACATCATATAAAGGGAAGCATGCAGAATATTGGGGAAAGGATTGTGTTGGTAGGTGCCAGTGAGTTGATTATGACATAGCAACCGTATGCAATAAAAAATGAAACACTGCTTGTCCTGCACCATCCTCCCAGTTGTTCCTACGCTTGAGCCCATTGTTACAGACACTGTGTAAATCCACCACTTGTTTGTGAGCTTTGCTGAAATCTGCTCACTTGGGGTGACCCTGCTGGCATTTGAACTTTATTTATATCAATGACTTAACTTTCAGTATCACAGCAACACATAAGTCACCACAGTACGAAAAACTGACAGACAAGGAGTAGATTGACACAGTGGCTGCACCAATGGGCTCAAGCATAGGAACAATTGTGAAGACGATGCAGGGCCAGGCAGTGTTTCGTTCTGTTCTGCACAGGTCTCTATATGTCAGAACCAACTCAATGGTCCTAACAATAGGAAAGCCCAATTGTTGCTAGGTTTGAGCCCATTGCTGTCGTCACCGTGTCAATCCATCATATCCTGGAGATGCTTCCTCTTTCGTGGACCAACATGGTGGAAACACAGGCTTCAGAATTTATAGAAGTGTTGTTGCTGCTATTGGTGGTGTTGTAAGGTACCATCATTTCCTACTCATGGTGACCTAATATATGTACAATAAAATGAAATCCCAGTTGGTACCATCCATCACATTGTTATCTTTGAGCTTATTTTTGCAGCTATTTTATCAGTTCATCTCCTCAGGGATCTTCTTTTGGTTGCCTTTCTGCTTTACCAAGTGTGGCAGTTACATAATCTGTCAACTTGTGAAGGGGTAGATTCTAGCCTGTCAATCAGGTCACAGCCAATGAGGCCTCTAGGTGGGCATGGCCTTCTCCTGAGAATTTCTGGAACTCCTGTCATCCTCCCTGGAGGCAGAACATACACTCTCTCACTGTGAGACATTCCTGTTGACAAGCCACATAGAGCTACACTGCTGGAGCCAGAGCCCTGAAGCTGGAAGAGCCACATTGAAGCCCACACTGGCACTGAGATGCTTCCACCAATACTGGATCCACAAGACTTTTCACCCACTGCCCTGTGATCTTCCTGCACTCAGCGTCGTTGCTTGTGTTTCATGAGTCTGAAGAGGAATTTATAGACTGGTATTAGACATATAGGATAATATCAGACTTATGGACTTGATCTGGACTGGGCTGGGCTGTTTTCTTAATATACAATTACTCTTTGATATAAAACTCTCTCTTACACACATATAAGTGTCTGGGAATTTGTTTCTCTAGTCCCCCCAGACTAACACATCAAGCATGTTGTCCTTTTTCAGG